GCCTCCATTCATTTGTTCATCCTTCTGCTGTCAAGATTCAGCTTGGTAAAAACCCACTCCAGAGCCAATGGAAAATTAGCTAAGAATTCCTCACACAGAAAACAACTCCGTAGTAGGAGAGTCACTATATAGGAAGCTGGAGGGCATGTAATCATGTGGAGGACAGAAATCATTTTCAAATAAAATCAAGATCAGTGAAGCCACATGGAAGTTTATGGCCAAACATATTACTCGTAAAGAAAAAAAATGATAGAAGTTAATGGTGGTCATGGAGCTGTGCTTGGTAGCTCATACCAGTAATCCCAGTGCTTTGAGAAGCCAAGGCAGGAGGATTGCTTGAGCTCAAGAATTCAAAACCAGGCTGAGCAACATAGTGAGAGTGAGACCCTGTCTCTATTTATAAATATAGAACAAAATAGATACATAAATATTATATATAATATATATTTATAGATATATAAATATACATAATATGTAAATATTTATAAATAGGTAGATAATATATATTTATAAATAGATATACAAATAAGCAGGAGGATTGCTTGAGCTCATGAGTTCAAAACCAGGCTGGGCAATATAGTGAGATTGAGATTCTGTCTCTATTTATATATATTTTATATATATATCCTTCATGTTATCAGGATCACTATATATATATATGTGTGTGTATATATACACACACATATATACACAAAAATATGTATGTGTGTGTGTGTGTGTGTATAAAGTATATACACACCAAAAAAAAAGAGTGATCTTGGTAACGTAAAGCGAGAAGAAATAAAGTTCAAAAAAGAGGTCTTGCCTAGTAGTTCAAACTTGAGACGATAAATTGAAAGCCAATGATGGCAAGTGGCTTTTATTTAGAAATTGGCTCCTTTCAAGGAAATGACAGAAAGGCCAGTGTAATTGCAGAATACAAGCTGGGGGAGGCTGGAGCTCATAGCAACTCTTCTAGTGGTCACTTCTACTAGTCTCTTTGGCCATGGTTGGCTGAGTCTAGTGTAGAGACATGTGACCCAAGCTAGATAAAAATTCTCCCTCTTAGGAATGTATAAAGTAGAGCAGGGACAACCAGAGGCAAGAGGCATCATGGAAATAATTTAGAGTCCATCATGGAAATTATTTAATGATTTGCTGCTCTGGCCTCCCCAGAACAGCCTTAGTTGCCTTCCCTGTAGAGGTTCGGTTTGGATGGTCCAAGATCCACCACCAAATATCCTTTGCAACTTGAGTACATCAAAAGGTCTTCAAATTATTTGAGAACAAATCAAGTTAGAAATCAATATGTTTAATATGATTTCTGTGAAAACAGAGAAGTCCTTAAAATTTAGATTTAAAACAATGACAGAATAAATCCTGGCCTGAACAATGTGTGGCTTTCCAATGTCGGTGGGAAGTACCCGCAGACTTCATGCCTGTAAACCGGCTGCCCTCCTGGTTGATGCTGTGGCTTCTGGCGGTCATCAGGCAACTTAACCATAGGTATTGCAGAAATACCCAACAGAGATCAGCAGACAGCCGGGAAGAGTGCCATTGTTTGAGGGCAGGGCATGTTTGGGCAAGTGATAAGGACAGTGGTCTGTCGTGCAAAGCACTGAGCGTGATTGAAACTGAGTGCGAGTAGATGCTGGAAGAATCTCTCCATTGAAAATACTTTCTAATAGATCCCTCAACCCACAAGTGCATTATACTCCATGACAGGACTTAACCTACGGATACCACTGACTGCCTTGTAGGTCTCCCCCACAAAGCTGAGCTCATGGTACAGAGAGACTGCATGTTCATCTCTGGGTGCCCAGTACTTAGCAGAGAACCTCATACAAGGGACACCATAAATAGTGGCTGAAAGCACATTGAATAAACAAGGACATCAGAACACTATTTGGAGAACAAAAGTAGTATTTTAATCTAATCTAGGTCAATGTGGAAAAGAATGGCAGAAGCAAATAATGAAAATAAAGGTGTTTCTCAAAATGCAAATAGAATGCCATTGCATAACATTATTTTTCAGATTGCAAATGATTACCATATTCTTCTGAGTGACTTTCAGACATTACATTGATTCTGGAAATAGGAGAGAATAAAAGCAAATTCATCCGGCTTGTAGGAAATACAAGCATGTGTTTTCTTTTTTGTCAAATCCCTGCATTCTAGGAGAACGACGTCTTTGTGCTCCTCCTGCATGTTTATGATGTCTAGTGAAGTGTCAATCTTTAACTACAGCAGGGATCAATCACAATGTACTTAACAAAAAAACAAAAAAATCTTAATCCCCCTGCCTTCACACCATGAAAAATATTTGTACTGCTATATTGGACACTGCTAACTGTACTCTCTAAAAACTGTCTATTCATGGTGTGGTCATATCTTAAAATGTCCCTGTATCTATCGATGAACTATTTATTTGAAAATATCAATTCCATCTTTGAAATCTCAGGTTGTAAAATCAGTAGAAAATAAGAAATTAAGGTAAATCTAATCGCACTAAGGTTTGTCTACAATCAAAACGCGAGCTTAGTCTCTGACAGAAGTCCTAGCAGTCCTGCAGTGGATATCAGCAGGATGTTATTCTTCAATTGCAAACAACAAGTAAGATTGGTACAAAATGGGAATTTAAGGCTCAATTTCAATCAGTTTCTCTAGTACCTATAGAAGGATAATAAAAAGCAGTATCAAAGAAATTGCCATGTATGATAAAGCTATTCCCCATAATAAATCTGTGCAAAAGCTTCAGCACTACAGCGAATTTGGCAGAGCCTTAGAGTTGCGTTCTTCTTGTAGAACAAGAGCCCTCTTAGAGGCTTAATTTTAATGTTTCAAAATATCATCTGTTTTCTTTGCTTTCGAATACTCAAATGTTCTGAAAGCATATACATCATTATTACAGAACTTTAGAGATACCACAGCATAGTGGGAAAATATGGCTTTGGATTGAGCTACAACTCAATCTAAACACCAACTCTGCTACCTTCAGCCTCAGTCTTCTCACTTGTAAAATGAGGTAAATGATATCCACCTCATCAAGTTGATATGAGAAATGAAGCAAGAGAGATAACATATAGAATTCCTAGTATAAGGTAACTATTTGAGAAATTTACCAGCGTGGGAGGCTTCCTGATTTCTTCTAATGCATGAAGATGTGAAATCAAAAAAGACAACATATGGCCAGGCACAGTGGCTCAAGCCTGTAATCCCAGCACTTTGGGAGGCTGAGGCGGGCAGATCACGAAGTCGAGAAATCGAGACCATCCTGGCCAACATGGTGAAACCCCATCTCTACTAAAAATACAAAAATTAGCTGTGTGTCGTGGAGTGTGCCTGTAGTTACAGCTACTCAGGAGGCTGAGGCAGAAGAATTGCCTGAATCCAGGAGGCGGAGGTTGCAATGAGCCGTGATTGCGCCATTGCACTCCAGCCTGGCACCTGGCTACAGAGTGAGACTCTGTCTCAAAAAAAAAAATAAAAGACAACATATAAAGGAGAAGAGGAAGGACAACAAACATGGATCACAAAATATAAGAAAACAAATATCCTGGGGTCTAAATGTCACCTGGAGATTAAAAACCTGCATGGATTTTGGATGGCGTTCCCATCATGTAGGCTCAGCCATCCCTCCACGACTCCTTGGGCGCTGTGGCATTCTGAAAATGATCACTTAGCCCCTGAATTTCTGGTTTTATGGATCTGATAACAGCTTTGCTAAATTGTGCTCTTTCTTGTGCTGTATCAGACTGAGTAAAAAGGCCTGATAGCAATAACAGCTGGAGTAACTATAAAAACAAGCTTTCATCCACTGTCTTCGAGAATCTATGTTTTTACATATTTTGCCTTAAACTCCACTTTGAAAATATTTTCGATTTCTGAAAATATCTGAGATTGAAAATATTTTCCATTTTTTACTCATTATTGTGCACATGCCTCCACTGAATTGTCACATCTGTGCCTTTAAGGTTTAAACCTAAATTTTTCATACATTTGGAAAATATTCTATATGAGTAAGTAAATACGGCAAGAGTATTTATTAGTTGTCACTAATCTCATCATCGTTACCAGGAAGTTAAAAAAGAAAGGAATTTGGTCATGTTGATGCCCAGAGGAGCACTAATGAGTTATGAAACCTTTCAGAGTCATAGAGCAGAAGAAAAACGGTTGCCGTGGTAACAAGGCAACCCAGTCAGCTGCATACACTCTCCCAAGAGCATCTAATTTATTCAGCAAATGCAGGCTAGAACAGGTGGCTAACTTAGATGTTGCCAACAAGCTCTAGCTCCCAAACATGGGTGCCCACCACATTTTCTTGTACACAAGTTTCATTCTTGTCCCTTATAAAGGAGGAGTTAACCAGGTGCATTTTAGTGTGGCTCGTAACACTTTAGGAGACAGAACAGTTATCTGTATTTGTCACTTAAATTTTCTACCAATAAAAAGATATATAATTTCAAGAAATGGTTGAAACCGACAACTTAATTTTACTAGTTAAAAATCCATCATTCACCTTTTAATAAATCAAGTATTTTAATGAGTATTAATAGCAAGAATTTATCATTAAATTTTACAGTTCTTGCTTTAGATGATAAATAGCCACTGAAATTCCAGTTCTTTAAGCCATCTGAAAGCATTTAGGCATTTTTAACAAATTTTATATTGTCAAAGGGGTAAGGAAGGAATACTACCAAGATAGGCTCTATTTATTGTAACATTAAAGTTTAAAAAATCTGAAAAACTAGCAGTAAAGTATATACTTATTTTTATATTAAGTAAGAGCATTTATGATCCAGTCCCAGTTTCATTTTCTGGTCTCCTGTCCAAACACATTTCATAATACATCCTAAACTTCATCAACAGAAGCCCAGTGAAATCTCTTCCTCACATCTCTGCACTTAGTATTTGCTGTTGTCTCTGTCTTGGGACTTCTAGGACCAGATTCCCTGTTCAATTCTAATGCATCCTTCAAGGATAAGATCAGGCATTTTCTTTCCCCAAATGCCTTCCCTCACCTCTTCAGGACAAAATTATAAGCATCTCCTTGTGTCCCCTCTGCAAGTAATTCCACTGCTTTGTTTCCATATCTGCTTTCTTCTTCAGATTGAGTCCCCCAGACCTTAAATATGTTCTATTCACTTCTTATCCCCAGAGTACCTGAAACAGTAGGAAATCAAAGATATATCACAAATGAATGAATAAATGGATGCACGAATGAAGTCTGCTTCAGTAATACAAAAATGTGCATAAACCTAAGATATGACAAGACTTTTCACAAATTAGAAAATCTCACTAATGTGGACAAATGAGTAATGACATATGCTTCTATGAGTTAAGACTCTGCATTTTTTAATGAGTGGAACCTTTCCTTCAAACGAAGTCATAAATTCAGCGTCTCTTTGTAAACCTGATGTCAGTCCATCTCCATCCTGCTGTTCCTGCACAATCCCACACTCAAAGCATCTACCAAAAGCCACAGATCTCCAACAGCCAGAGCTTGAAAGATACTGGGCTCGACTTACTACATATTCAATTTTGCCTTGCTACTGCCCACTAAACAGAAATCACATAAGCAAACCTTTGTTGAAAAGGATATTTAAAACAGAAGACAACATTAGCTAGGAAGTTCGGGACTTGGTATTTCTCTATTTATCTGCTTTGAAGTCTTGCGGTTGTTTCCAAAGGTGACCCTTGCTGAGTGAGGCTGTTTCCTTAGCAACAGGATGACTGCTTCCAGCATGTAGAGAACATACATCTCTGTTTTTATGGTACTCAACCACCACCCTGAGATGCTATGTTGCTTCAAGAAAGCAAGAATCTTCCCTTTTAAAGTACCAGATTGGCTCTCCAGCTCGTGGACTGCATGTTACTCTGGAAAACAAGAAGTAATGATAATTGTCCAGAAATAACTTCCTCATTCCATAAAAAGGACACAACCTCTATACTGATGTACTTTTATTCTCCTTGCCTAATTACTCCACGTCTGCCTACACACACACACACACACACACACACACACACACACCATTCTTTCTTCTTTTCGGCTTTTGTTCAGTTTGTCTTAAATGTTTGTGCTGCTATCACTTCTCTCTTTTATATTTTACTCCATTTCTATTTCCAGTATTGATGGCTTCTTTGTATATCTCAGTTTCCAATATCAACCAAATTACAAGTTAGAATTAAGCATCAACATATCATGACCAGAACAAAAAAAGGCTTGGTTGGAGCAACTGTCACTTGGTCAGTACACAAACCCCTTGCTATTGCAAAAGGAGATGGGAACATATAATAGACTGAAACTCATGTTGTTTATTCCTTTTGGCAATTCCATACAATGGTGCAGTCATATCATAAAAGGGCTGGAAACCCTAGAGCATCAGCCATACTTCTGTATTAATGGAATTATTTTTGTCTGAATTGTGTGCTCATAAAAAGGAAAAAAAATTACTGAAGTTGTATAGGATTTTCTTGGGAAAAATTCTTCTAAAAAAGTATTTCCAGGTATTCTATTTATACTAAGTTCAGTAGGTAAATAAATAAGTTAGACTTTTAGAATGCTAAGTAAATTATATTTTACAATGGCATATCAAAATGCTCAAACTCAGCTGAGTTTTTTTCAATGTAAAATGCACCGAATCCTGAGCATAAACAGGAAATGTGCAAAAGTTTCTTTTACATCCAAAGTATCCATGGAATACAAATGTTAAAATACCATTCAGCAGGTAGTGTTATAAGTCCAAAGATTTAAAATAAATTGTATCCTAACAAACTTGGAAATTGACATCTGCAATAGACCTGGGAAATAATACAATCCCTTGTTTTATATATGAGAAAACAAATGCCAAGAATCAGTCAGAAACATACCAGTCCAGATTAGTTGCAGACCTTCAACTAATATCAGAAGAGCTTTTGATTTGTTTGGCTTAACATAAAAAAATATTCACCATAAGTTTCTTCAAGATAAAAATTGCATTTTGCCTTCATTGTCACGTTTTAATTTATACCTTAATGCTCAACTTTCAGTAATTACTAACAATTGTTTACGCATGTTATGTGTATGGCATCATTCATTAGGAATGCTTCCAGCTGAAAATAACAGGAAACACTCTATAGAGTGGGTGGCTTAATAAATATTGGATAATTTTTCTGGCATAACAAGAAGTCTTGAGGGAAGCAGCTAGCATTGGTTCCGTGGTTTGACAGTTTCTGAAATTCTCTTGGGATTTCTCATGTTTGCTTCCTGATTACAAGATGACTGCAGTAGCTTTCAGCATTCCAGTCTGACTTCAAGAAAGAAGGGAGAAGGAGCCATGCCAGGGATTCTATCAGGTAATGCCTTATAACACGCCCTCACATAAGGAGATACAAAATCCTTTCTAGAGCTCTTAGCAAGTTCATGCCATGTCTTAGTTTCTAGAACTAAAGCATATGGCTGCTCTCACTGCAAAAGAGACTGAGGACATAAGAACTTAGGTTTTTACTCCCAGGCGCAGTGGCTCACGCCTATAATCCCAGCACTTTGGGAGGCCGAGATGGGTGGTTCACGAGGTCAGGAGCTCAAGACCAGCCTGGCCAACATGATGAAACCCAGTCTCTATTAAAAAAAAAAAAACAAAAAAAACTTAGGATTTTACAACTGTTACAGCAGAAATGATAATGAAGAAATGGATTTAAAATACTTTACTGTGAGCTGAAAATATTAGATGCTTATGTGACAATAGAGTAAACAGAAGCAAATCAAGAAAGAAACCTAATAAGAGATCAAGAAAGAAAATTTAAAAACATGTATTCCACTGCAATCTTAAAACAGGGAAAATAAATCATTCAAAATGAAAAGAGAGGCAATATAAGCCACATATGAATGTTTTCAAGTTCCTTTTGTGGTGGACATTGCCACTAGTAACCAAAGCAGACCCACAGAGTGAGCAGCAGTTTCAGCAGGCATTAAGAACCTGTGAGTTTTGCCAATGTCAGTCAAGGGAAAGCTCCAGGTAAACTATTATTAAGAAATTTTAACCACTTCTGAATGCCCAAAACTTAAAATCACTACCTTGTATGAATATTGTAAATGTTTTATGTATACTATTCTTAACACATAATTTGGAAGGATTATATTATTTCAAGTTTTGCTGTTTGACTTTAAAATCACTTGCAAGTAATAGGAATTACAAGTACTATAAAGCTCTTCCTTTTCCATTGGGTCAGTGCCATACAATATAGAAAGCAAGTAGGCCATATTAACTGTTTAGTATCAAGTCAGAAGCTTCAATTTCTAGGGCGCCTTTGCCTCATTGTCCTACTAAATAAAAAAGTGTGAAAATGCATGCTACCTCCTCCTCCCCAGTCCCTGCTAGGTTGTAAGCTCCATGAGGCTGGAGGTTCTGTTTGTCTTGATTTCTACTACATGTGTAGTGTTTACAACAGTGCTTGATACAACATTTAGTTGTATTGAATATTTAGTTATTCAATAAATAGTTGTAGCATGAGTAGGTAAAACTTTTATATTGAGTGATTACTGATGTGTTGGCAATCAACCTTTTAGTTCAAACCACTAAAATAAAACCAAGTTGACTTGTTACCAATAAACATACAACCTCTAAACTTTACTCCTAAGAACATTATTCAAGTTCTAAAGTATTAAGCTTTCCAGCCAGAAAACTAATGAAAATTAAAGAAGTAATTCATAATAGCAAAGTTGGAATGAAGTATACATTTACACATGCACATAGCAAAGTCAGAGTGAAGTATACACTTACACATGCACATAGCAAAGTCGGAGTGAAGTATACACTTACACATGCACATAGCAAAGTCGGAGTGAAGTATACACTTACACATGCACACACACACGTATGCAACATGGAGCACTTTTTATGCAGACCATTCTGGGTTAGTAAAATAAATAACTGCTGCCCTTAAACCACACAAATTCAAACTGTGAATGTCCACCTATACATGGATGTTTTTCCACCTCTGCACCCTGAGACAAGACCAGCCCCTCCTCTTCCTCCTCCTTCTCACCCTACTCAACATGAAGACAATGAGGATGAAGACCTTTATACGTATCTACTTCCACTTAATCAATAAAAAACGTTTTTTCTTCCTTATGATTTTCTTAACATTTTCTTTTCTCTAGCTTGCTTTATTGTAAGATATGGTACATAACACATACAAAATATGTGTTAATTGACTGTGTTATTGGTAGGGCTTCCACTCAACAGTAGGCAATTAGTAGTTAAGTTTTGGGGAAGTAAAAAGTTATATGCAGATTTTCAACTACGTAGAGGTTGGAGCCCCGAACCCATGTGTTGTTCAAGAGTCAATTCTGCTATCACAGAGAAGAAAAGGATACTATTAAGAACCCCACTGGGTTTTTCTCTAAGAAGCAGAACCAAATAAAGCTATGGAGAATAGAATTCTTTAAAATCATGTTTTTTATTAATTTTTATCTATACTCTCTGAGTACAATTTGTAACAAGTTAAAATGGAGATAATATGATTTTTTATGGCTGGAAGATTTGAAGCATTATTTAGTCAAAGTGACTAATTTTTTACTTGCTACTCAACCCAGCCTTCAAGTAGAACTCATCGTTCACATCATGTTACAATTTTACAGCAGAGCAACAGATAAAGTAAATATATGGATTTTCAACAAGTCAGATGCTGTATTTGTTGAAATATTTTTAAAACAGGCTCTCTCACTTGTGGCATTTTTACTATGTTACACACAAGCTTAGCTAAGTGAGCATGAGCCATGTTAATATCTTGTGAGTATAAATGTGCAGACTGCTCTCATTAATTTCAGTGAAACCAGAAGTACAGAATCCTTCTCACATAAGTACAAGCACAAAGACATTTTTGGTTAGGCATTGTATCCCATGAAACGAAAAGGAACAAGAGCATCAAAAAAAGATCCCAAGCAAAACATGCAAACAAATACAGGAATAAGTTGGAAACCAGAAGGCCGACAAGTTAATTAAACATTACCTTTTTCTCATAGTGAGCAAGATGCATCCTGGTCATTTCTGTCTTTTCTCACAGTGCTAATTTCAAAACCCCAGCTGAGAAAGCAGCTGTGTAGAGCAAGGAACTGGTGAGCTCAGCAGGAGTCCTGTATCCCAAAGCTGCTCGCAGAAATTCAAGCTTTCTTTCAGTTGCAGTGTTGTCACTTACAATGCCAGAAATGTGGAGTGTTGTCCTCTCTTCTGCAGCAGTAGTAAAGATCAGAGTCATGGTTTCTTTAAAGACTTCAAAAGCCTAAGTCACCCTGTTTTTATTGTTATTTATTTTCATTGTAGCCTCCAAAGAGCTGGCATTGGCTACTTTTCAATATATTTGAAATTCTAGTGAGGTTTCATTAATCATAATGTTAATGGAATAGATGATGGCAAAACAGACATGAAAGTTGAAGCATATGGCAGAGAGAGTGTTGATGGCATTTCCCCGCTCCCCATGACCAAAAAAAGAGAAAAAAAAGTAAAGAAAAAGGGAAAATGCTTCACTGTTACACTGCAATTTTTCCCTAGATTGCAACATTGAAACTCTCATCTTTAATTTTTTTTTAACTATGTTTTAAGCTTCTGCTAAAAGGAACAATTCAAAATTAGCTGCAACCTAAAATAAAGCTACATTTCTTAAAAGCCCTTGGAAATGAAATCAATTTATATCTGTTTCCATATAGTGGCATTAAAATGTTTTATGAAGTACTCTGGAAAATAATTACAGGGAGAGCACCGAGCAACACAATGGCTGCAGGACACGACTGATGCCGTAAGACGGTCATACATGAAGAAAGCATGTCGTATTCAGAGCCAAGAGTCCTAGTGAGGTTGAGTCTGCAACAAAGAAAAGCCATTGTTTACATCTCTGAACGTATCGTAGCTTTTACAGTTATATATGTTTAATACAGGAAATCGTATTTATACTTATAAAATATACACGTGTGTTGGTATAGATACTTCATGGCATTTGGCTTCAATATTTACTGGTCTCAATACTCAGAGTATTTATTAAAATATTTAACCTCAAACACCAACCGTTTAAAATATATATGTTATTATTGAGTACGTTTCCTTCTTACCCCAAAGCTCTAATCAGATATAAAAGTTAGTACACAATACCTGAACCAGGGAATATATTCGAAGTTATTTATGGGTGTTTTATAAATATTCACCTAATTTCATAAGTCAATCTGGAAAGTTCTGTAAAACTGAAAGATTAATATTCAGAAATTCTTATTTGCCTATGGATTTTGTCATCCAATAGGTATTTTTGTTTGTTTTTTGAGATGGAGTCTTGCTCTTGTCACCCAGGAGTGCAGTGACATGATCTCGGTTCACTGCAACCTCCACTTTCTGAGTTCAGGTGATTCTACTGCCTCAGCCTCCCCAGTAGCTGGGATAACAGGTGCCCACCACCAGGCCTGCCTAATTTTTTTATATTTTTAGTAGAGATGGGGGTTTCACCAGGTTGGCCAGGCTGGTCTCGACTTGGTCTCGACTTACATGATCCATCCGCCTCTACCTCCCAAAGTGCTGGGATTACAGGTGTGAACCACTGCATCCAGCCTCCAATAGGTATTTATAAGATTATACTGAGTTTATAGAACCTTATCACTCTGACTTAAAACCAAGATTACATACGACAAAAATTCAGATTCAAACATTATTGACTGACACATTTTCTTTCAGGAAGCAACCTTTGTTTTTCAAACCAAATTTATTTGGGAAAATGGTAAATAAAATGCATGAGTATTCTTGAGTAACATCCCAAATTTAGCAAGTTAAAGCAAAACATAATTACCTCATTTTGAAATTTTAATTTATAGAAGATCATGCAGCACAAATATATTGTCATAACATTTTGCTGCATGCTCATGATCATTTCTTTCTTTCTTCTTTATCTGTTCATTTATTCACAATATCCATTGTGATTTCTGCCAATAGTTGACATTTCTGCCCTGAAGAAACTACTGCATATTTTGTCTAGTCAAACACCATTTTCAAAAATAGCCAATATTTGCTTTCAGCATCAACAAATATATTCTTCTGTCCAAAGATGCTACTCAGTATAAGAAAATGAATAAGGTAATTAATGAGAAACTGAATATGATCATGTATTTCACAGTGATACTTTTTTCTCACCATACCCCTAAATAATTTCAGATGGATTAAAGAGTTAAACTTAGTAGAATCGAGTTTAGGCCATTGGAAGGATGTATGAAAATAAGAAAGGCATGGTAGAAAGCACAAAGGGAAAAAAATGGACCTATGGAACCACATAAAATTTTAGTATGGAAAAACGTTTTTTTGACTATACTGTAAAAGTATTTTTAATTACTTGAAGAGTTAACATGGATTGAATAAGAAACACAAGGCCCCAACTGACTAATTGACAAACAACATAAAGAGAGACTCCAAAAAGGGTAAATGCAGAGGTAAAAAAAAAATCAACCTCACAAATAATTATAGAAACTCAAGCTAAAAATTAGATTCCATCTTTACCTATTAAAATAATCCATTTCTAAAATGTGCAACTCACGGTATGATGGAGGTATGGTATCATACATTACTGTTAATAGTGATGCATGGCAATTGGTCAGGAAAATATGGCCATGAAGGAGAACAAAGGAAAATGACCACCTATTTGATACTAATAGCCATCTCTGAGATTCTGTTTTATAGAAGAAAACTATATTTACAATGGGGCTCAAGACATTACATTATAAAATTGAAAATATGAAAAAAAACTAAATATCTTGGAAAGTGAAAACTTACCCTGGCAATGAGAAGTAAGAGAAGGCTGTAAAAAACACACACTAAATGCCAATGACACCCTAAGCATGATGTATTTGGGACTATGCCTGAACAAGGACATTCTGCAGCCGCAAAACAACTAAACAGCCCTCTCTTTGGACTAATCCTAGTGCCCTGCTGATTTACCAACACAACACAATGTTGTTTTGATCCTCCCACTTTCTAGTGAGTAATTGCCAATATAACCAGTCTCCAAATTGCCCCTGCTTTCTGACAGCATCCAAGTCAGAAATGGCCCCCTCCTCTTCGAGCCCTGTTAGAATCACCCTGGATGAGGCTAAATCCTTTCATAAGCCTTTCTTCAAATCCTCCTACTGGAACCTCCACGGTTCCACTAGTGAGTGTTCTCCTTTGCAGCAGCAAGTGAAATAAACCTCATTTTGTTTCATTCATTTGTGTTTTTATAATCTTCAGCTGGTGGATTTCAATAGGTTGAGCTGTGACCCCCTATTATATTGAATATTATCCAACCATTCTAATGATAGCATGCCAGAGTATAAGACATGACAATATCTACATTGAATATCTACTTCTGTGAATTACAATGTAAATCAGATCTCACATTTGACAAACCTTGATTCTTATATTCTTATATTTTCTTCTTCACATGAAAAATATGTAAAGAAAATGTATCAAGTGCTATGGCTAAAACACTGGGTTTACTGGTGTTCTCCAGGTAACTTCTTCCTTATTTTCTTCCCTAAATTCTAACTTTCTTAAAGTTGAGTAAATTGCATTTCTAATAAAAACATTTTGTTAAAGTATGTCATAGGTGAATAAAACAAAATCTCTTCCCTCAATTAAATAGAAGAGCTCGTGTATCTTATGTTCTCATTTTTTCTACTGATTCAGCAAGAAATAAATATGTATATAACCATTAAGTGATATGTATCAGTAATTAATTTGATGCTTCTACATTGATATACATAATGATTAATTCATGCACATACTTGATATATGGATACATATAATGAACTAATTTATATGCATCTGTCATTACTTGATACATATAAATTGCAATAATCCATTCCTTTACATGTTCATTTGTTTATTCTTTTGTGTTCATTTATTTATTAAGCTCAAATATATGTTGAATTTTAAAAGCACAAATATATATTGAGGTTCTTTAATTTTCCAGACAGGGATAGGTAATAGTGAGACAGAACTGAACATCATGAACCTCTTGCTGGAGAAGAACTCACTCTGCAATAGGACAGAGAGAAGGTAAATAGAGGTACATTATCAAATGGAGGGATGCATCTATATTCTCCCACACAGGTGATGCTATGGGAACAGTGTCAAGGGAATACCTGCTCTCTTGGGTGAGAGTGGTCAGGGATGACTTCAAAGAGGAGGTGATGTTCTCCATGAGTCCTGAATAACAAGTATGTGTTTGTCAGGCAATGGAAAGAGGGAAGAGTATTCCAAGCTACTTAAGAATATACAATTAAGAGGTAAAGTAAGAAAGACAATTAATGCCTTAAGATCAATGTGGGTATAATCAGAGACGGATTTGTGAAGGGAGTAAAACTTGACCTAGATCTTAGAAAATGGAGCTGTCCGCATGATCTCACTCATAAGTAAGTGTTGAGCAATGAGAACACATGGACAGAGGAAGGGAAGCATCACACACTGGAACCTGTCGGGGGATGGGGGCTAGGGGAGGGATAGCAGGGGTTTGAGGCGCTAGGGGAGGGATAACATTAGGAGAAATACCTAATGTAGATGATAGGGTGAGGGATGCAGCAAACCACCATGGCATGTGTACACCTGTGTAACAAACCTGCACATTCCACACATGTACCCCAGGACTTAAAGTATAATAAAAATAAAGAGGATAAAATGGAGGTATCCAGCAGAAGAAAGAAGATTCAATCTGGAACAATTGTATAAGCACTTGTCTATCTGCGACTTGGTGGTCAATATAAATTATTATGGAATAGTTTCCTATGTCTGTAAAGAGTCATCAGATAAATTAGGAAGCATGACTTTAGTTTTGGAACAATAGCTCCAACTATAATACTTCTATGAATTACAATATAAACAGATCTCACATTTGACAAACCTTCATACTTATATTAGTAAAAGGTCACTTGATACGGTATCATTCCTTAGCAGAGGAAGGTTCAACACACAAAAAGTCAGCTGAAAAATGAAGCTTTCTGATCTAATCCAGCTGGCCTATGAACACACTCACCCATCTATTAGGATTGCCCCCACAGTACCTCAAAGACATTTTTCTGATACACTGCTACATTTTTACGTTCTCTGAACTCAGAGTTGGGCCAAAAGCGATAAAAGTAGAGGCAATGCTTCTTTGAAATTAACTAAAGAAAAAAATAAGAAGATCAATCAGATTCTAATGGAAAGAAGTTATGCCAAGTTCCAAAGGTGCAAAAACACAAAGTGTAGGGAAGAATATATTTCAGACTTTACACTGGGTCTAGCAATGTTGCAAGTACAGTTACATACGGCAGCCAAACAGAGCACATGCCAAAAGAAGCAACGTGTGAGCAGGTGTGAAGCTTGATCTGTGCATATAAGGAACATTAGCAAAGAGAATAACAAAGAAAATATCTGTACAGCAAATGCGCCACATTGGTACAGAAAAGTGTAGGGAGCAATTTTGAACATGATAAGAATGAAGAACCACAGGAATTAGAGTGGGACAAACTATCTTAAATCCCGTTTTGTTTTTATTCCCCACCCCCCGTCCTGAGCTTCAACAGAGGCCTTTTACTTATTTATCTAGAACCATCGCTTTCCTCCTTTCCATTTCATTAACAAAAACATGTAAAAGAAGCCTATTCCCCTTGAAGAGTTAAAATGTAGGCACATTTAGGAGTCAGAAAGCAAGAC